CTTCCCTGCTTTGTCGAAGATTAATTGACCATATAGTTGTAGGTTCATCTCGGGGCTCTCTATTCTGTTCCATTGATCTATGTGTCTGTTTTTGTGCCAGTACCATACTGTCTTGATCACTACAACTTTGTAAGATGACTTCAAGTCTAGAATCGTGATGCCTCCAACTTTGCTTTTCTTTTTGAAAGTTGCTTTAGCTATTTGGGGTCTTTTGTGGTTCCATACGAATTTGAGGACCGTTCGTTCTAGCTCTGTGAAAAATGCTGTTAGTATTTTATAGGGATTGCATTAAATGTGTAGATTGCTTTGGGTAGCATAGACATTTTAACAATATTCATTCTTCTGATCCATGAACATGGAATGTTTTCCAATTTAGTTGTTCCATCTTCATTTTCTTTCATCAGTGTTTTATAGTTTTCACGGAGTACAGGTCTTTTACCTCTTTGGTTAGGTTTATTCCTAAGTATCTCATGGTTTCTGGTGCAATCGTAAATGGGATTGATTTCTCAATGTCTCTTTCTGCTGCTTCATTATTGGTGTATGGAATGCAACAGATTTCTGTATATTAATTTTTGCATCCTGCTAATTTACTGAATTCATGTATCAATTCTAACAATTTTTGGTGGAGTCTTTTGGATTTTCTATATGAAGTATCATGTCATCTGCAAAGAGTGATAGTTTTACTTCTTCCTTGTCAACTTGGATGCCTTTCTTTTCATTGTGTGACTGCTATGGCTAGGAATCCAATATGGTGATGTTGTATTTCTTTTATTTTATTTTTTGAAAGATTTTGTTTGTTTGTTTGAGAAAGAGAGCATGCAAGTGGGGGAAGGGGCAGAGGGGGAGGGAGAGGGAGAGAATCTCAAGCAGACTCCACGCTGAGCATGGAACCCCTTGCAGGGCTCAATTTCAAGACTCTAAGATCACGACTTGAGCCAAAACCAAGAGTCAGAAGCTTAACCAACTGAGGCACCCAGGTGCCCCGATGTTGTATTTCTTAACCTGAATCATAAATATCTAGGCATCAGTCTTATTATTTTTATTTAAGCTATACATACATGTTTTAGAAGTTATTCAATATATATTGCTCTCATTATTTAACCTTATATATATATATTTTATAAATTACCTAATATATTCATGATATTTTCTGCAACAGAAAAAAGAAAAAGTAGGAATTTAGCTTCTAATCCAAGAAATTTCAAAAGGCTTTGGTCGTCTAAAGATGTAACTGACAAGAATTAAATAGAGGGAATGTTTCCCAATTTATTTCATGAGGACACTATTACCTTGATGATAAACCCTAAAAAGGACATTATAAAAAAGGGAAATTAGTCTAATCTCATTCATGAGCATAGATGCAAATGTTAAAAATATAATTTTAATACAAAAAAATCCAGTAGTATAGAAAAAAGATAATATATCATAAACAAGTTAGATTTATCCCAGGTATACAAGGATATTTTGACATTGACATTAGAAAACATAAATACAACTTAACTGATTAAAAGAGAAAAAACATTTGGCAAAATCCAACATCCATTTATGATTTTAAAGAAACTTAGAAAACTAGGAACAAAGTGGAATAATTTACTTAACCTGATATAGCATATCTATCTATAAAAAACATATATAAGTATATGCTCTTAACTATTAAATGCTAGAGGTGTATTTAAAGATCATGAACAAAACAAGGAGGTACACCCTTGCCATTTATATCAGACATTGACTGGAGCTTCTAGCTAGCATAGTAGGTCAAGAAAACAAAATTAAAGAATAAGCACTGGGGATAAAAAAATTGTTATTTGTAGGCATGAATGTTTAAATAAATTCTCCCAAATGATACTACAGATAAATTATTATAAATATGAAAGTTTAACAAAAGGGGGAAATTCTAGAAGAGAAGGCCAGCAGGGGTAGCATAGTTTTTGAATCTTCTCAAATCTCTACCTAAAAAGAGTAGCTCAGTAGCAAACCCAAGAACCTATGGGCAACATTTACAACACAATCATGTGACGAGGCGTTTCTATGAACCCCAAAACATATACAGAAGACCTTTAAGGTATCAGTGTATATATGTCAGAAAGCAACAGGCATAAAAGGGGCATCTGGGAGTGCCTGGGTGGCTTAGTTGGTTGAGCATCCAATTCTTCATTTCAACTCAGGTCATGATCTCAGGGTCCTGGGGTTGAGCCCCTAGGGGAGTCCTGCACTCAGCGGAGAGTCTGACTGGATTTCTCTCCCTCTGACCCTACTCTCCCTGCTCGGACTCTCTAAATAAATAAATCTTAAAATAAACTGGGGGGGGCGGCATCTGAAGGACCTGAAAATAAGAAAACCCCAAAATAGCCAACAGGTAGTCATGGATGGGAAATTACAGCAGGCCAATTTGAGAAAAGCAGTTGAAACTGGGAGGTTTTGCTCATTCCAATAGCAAATGAGTACAAAAGATTCATGGTAAACATTAAAAGGACTGGAACAGTCTAACCACTGTGAATGCTCAAAACTGACCAACCAGGTTTCTAGTCCAAGGCACAGCCCCAGAAAATTTTAGAAAGCAACTCATATTTTTAAACACCAAATGAAAACATCAATAGTGGGAGTTCTGTGAAACTCAAGCAGCTCTCTAAACCAAATCTCCTATTCAAAAAATCAGGAAAATTAATTCCATATAAAACTAAGCAATAGAAAACTATCAGCGCCAAATTCCAAAGTAGTTATAAGAAGAAAGAGAATAAGGAGCCAAATAACAACCCTAGACTCTGAAATCATGCAAGAAAAATACATGTGGAGTAAGTGAACACAGTGACAAGATGACTCACTGGGACCCATTTCGCTAGGAAAAAGGTGATCAACTGGTGAAGCTCCAGGAGGGAAATCAGAGCAGTGGCTGTCACTGTCACTGTGAGCCAGATAAGTCAAGGTTCTGCAGCTGGAGCTGCTCTGTTTGGATGCAGAAGCCGTTATGAGGATCCAGTTGTGTACTATTAGGCAAGACATTAAAGAAATTTGCAGTTTCCAGTTCAAGATGGTGAGGAGGCTCCTGAACTCACCTCCTCCCATGTATGTACAGTACCTACGGTTATACAAAGAGCAATTCTCTCTAAAAGAAATCTAGAAATAAGCTGAGCAACTCCTACACATCAAGCAAATTAGAAAATACCCACATCAAAACAAGGGGGAAAGGATGAGGCACATACTATAAACCCCACCTCTGGCACAGTGCCCTACAATTGGGACAGAACTCTCAACTCCCAGCATCTCCCTGAGGAAAAAAAGGGATTAGACAACACATATGGCACCCCACCTTTCAAGACTCCCATCTGAGGACAGGCCCCCAAAACACCTATTTCTGAAAGCTAAGACAGCTTGTGCCTACAAGACCCACAAGGCTACAGAAAAATAAAAGTTTTTAACAGGTTTGCTATGACTTACCATGCTATCTGCCCAGGGCTCAGCACAGAAGGAATAGTGAGAAAATAAGCTCATCTCCCAGTTATTCTCCAAAAGAGGCCTACTGCATTCTTTAAAAGCTATTATCTGGAGGTTAGGCTCCTAATTTAGTATGCATCCAGAGGTTGACTGTAATCCTTCTTAGAGACCTGTGGAAGCCAGCAGACACTATCTCCTCCTCCCTCTAGCCCAATCCAAATCATCAGTATCTCCCTGGAAGGAGCTTATACAGACATCTGGCTTATACAGACTTTGTGACCATTGCCAAAGAGATGGGCCCTTAGACAGTTTAGCTGTCATAGCCAATGGGGCTTGGATTCACCAGTCCCACAGAACTTCAGCACACAAAGAATTAGTTCTTAATGGGTGCAGGAATGACTTCCACCCCAATGGCTATACCCCCAGGCCAGGCACAAAGGGAGCAGGCAAGAAAGCCCATCTCCTGGTTTCTCCATGGAAGGGCTCTAGCTACATACTTTCCCAGCAGCTGCCTGGAGGTTCAACTTCCAGTCAGCCTGAGTCTAGATGCTGAGATCTTCCTCTTGGGATACTGACAAATCTTGACACACTCTCAACAACTGGAAGCCACCAAGAAAAAAGGAAAGCAGCTTGCACAATCACAAAGGTTTGAGAGACAGCCAAGAGCTTGGGCTGGGCTCATTGATGAGGTTCATTTCCTACATGAAACCACTTCATCAAGGCTAGGAAAGGTGACAGTTTCATCTAGTGCTCAGAAACCAATACAGAGTGAGGGTAAAGGAAGAAAGAGAACAGAGTAGCAAGATAAAACTCCAGAAACATTAAGTTCCAAACAAATAAGAAAAAACTCCATAATGAAACAGAGATAAGCGATTTACCTACCTGATAAAGAATTCAAAATACTGAGGGGCGCCTGGGTGGCTCAGTCGGTTAAGTGTCTGCCTTTGGCTCAGATCATGATCCCGGAGTCCTGGGATCAAGCCTGCTGAGCAGGGAGCCCACCTCTCCCTCTCCCCCTGCCCCACTTGTGTTCTTGCTCACTCTTCTCTCTCTCTAATAAATAAATAAATAAATAATCTTAAAAAAGAAAAAAAATTCAAAATCATGGTCATAATGATGCGCATTGAGGTCAAGAAAGAAATTCGTAAACAAAATAAGATTTGCAACAAAGAGATAACAAAATATAAGAAAGTACCAAACAGAAATCATAGAGCTAAAGAACACAATAACTGGACTGAATAATTCAAAAGCACTAGATCATGTGGAAGAAAGGATTGGCAAACTCAAAGACAGGGCAAAGGAATTCATCCAATCAGAAGAGCAAAAAAAAAAAAGAATGAAAAAGAGTGCAGATAGTTTAAAGGACTTATACAAAGTGAACCACCATACGCATTACAGGGGCACTAGACGCTGACTTTTCTAAACAAATACCTAAAGCCCATGTCCCCCCCCCAAAAAAAAATTAATGTACCACTAACACATAAATAAGATGAAGATTGTTTTGGTTGTGTTGGTTTTTGATTGATTGATTGATTTATACATACATACATACATACATACATACATACCTTTCTCGAGGTTGTTGCTGAAGTTTTTCAAGTCGCACTACGGATGGCTGGTTGGATTGGGGCACTACAGCTGGCATCCCAATGGTAACATTCAGGTCTGGGGATAGGAATGCTGGATATTCTATTGGTTGTGGTGTAATAACATTTCTGCAAAATGGTTATAATGTTAAATATGGCGATCAAAACAAAAGCACACTTCTAAAATCAGTGGTAGCTATCACATTTGAATCATTCTCTCTTTTAGACTGTAAGTTCACCTGTCTACCTGAGACCATCAGAGGGTAGAGCTAGGAAAGAAGACAAAGGTCAAAAATCCTGACAGAAGTGCTCTATTGAATAATTTTACTACTAAGATGGGCAGCAGGGATGGGAAAGGAGATAAGGACCTGAAATTCTAAAGAGAAGTAGAAAGTGTTTGAGCCCAGAACTCTCTCCCAATCTTTAGATACAAATCGTTATTCTATGGCCCAGTCAAGTTGACACGTGAAATTAATCATCACAAGTGCACCCACCCCTTGTCAACCTGGCACCCATAAGCATCTCTTTAAAACATATTTAATCTCCAAATGAGAACAATAACAGGACATATTCCACCTGACATGATATAACTATCCTGCATACAACCAAAAACTCACTAGCCCCTTCCCCAGAGAAGAATATAAAGTCTTTGGGTGATGTTTACTCATCTTAATATCCTGAAACTTAAGTAGGATGCTGTAAGTTTAACAATACTTAAATATTACAATATAAAGTCAATATACCTTTTGTTACATAAGGAAATATGAGAGGGAAGAAAATATATTTGCTATATAAATATATATTTTTTTCAGGTCACTTGGTAAATGGGCCAGAGTAGTACACCCAAATAAGGAGTAAGTTATCTCCAAAATCCAAAAAGGCCCACCGGGTGTTGCGCCTCTGTTTTGGTTGTAGGAGGGGCCAGATACAACTTATCCTTCACCTTAGCAGGATTATCTTGACAATCCCCATACCAGGGGATCCTCAAAACTTCAATGAGGTAGAAGACCCCTGAATTTTTGTCAGAAGTCTTCCCACGCTCTGACATGCAAATGTCCTATCAGAAGTCTAGATTAGTTGCTATTTCCTGTTCACTAGGTCCAATAAGCATAATGGTCATCACTGTAATGGACCTGTGTAATATCTTGTATAAGGGAAAGGCAATCAAGATTCCTGTAAACCATAGGGCACCTGGGTGGCTCAGTTGGTTAAGAATCCGACTCTTGGTTTCATCTCAGGTCATGATCTCAGGGTCCTGGGACTGAGCCCTGTGTCGGGCTCTGTGCTCAGTGTGGAGTCTGCTTGGGACTTTTTCTCTCCCTCTCCCTCTGCTCCTCCCCCTGCTCATGCTCTCTCTTTAAACTGAATAAATCTTTAAAAAAAAAAAAAAGATTCTGTGAACCAAATTAATGACATAGGGCTGGAGAAGTTGATATACCTGAGGTAAGACAGTGAAGGTGTCTCACTTGGCCTTACCAGCTGAAAGAAACTACTTCTGATGGTTTTTATATGAGGAAAATAGCATTTGCCAGATCAAGAGTTGCATACCAAGTACCAGAGGATGTGTTAATTTGCTCAAGCAATGAAACCACATTTGGTACAGTGGCTGCAATTGGAATCACTGCCTGGTTAAGCTTACAACAATCTACTATCACTCTCCAAGATCTGTCTTATGCAGAGGCCAAAATAAGTGAGCTAAATGGAGATATGATGGGAATCACCACCCCTGCATCTTTCAAGTCCTTGATAATGGCACCCATCTCTGCAATCCTCCCATGAATGTGGTATTGCTTTTGGCTTACAATTTTCTTAGGTGGAGGTAGCTCTCTAGTGGTTTCCATTTGGCCTTTCCCACCAGAATATCCCTTGGTCCACAGGTCAGGGAACCAATGTAGGGATTCATCTACTGCCAAGTGTGTTGATTCCAAATATGCAATCTAGAACTGGGGAAATAATCACAGGATGGGTTTAAAACTCCATTGATCACCTGTCCTCCATAAGTCCCCAGTCTGACTGGTGGACAACAGTGACGTTTGGATCTTCTGGAACTAGTGTCAGTTTAGAGCGAGTGTCCAGTAGTCTCTGAAAGGTCTGGTTATTTCCTTTTCCCTAATGCATAATTACCCTGGTAAAAGGCTCTCCTTCCCTTTTGGGAAAGCTGGGAGAAAGATTAACCTTAGAAATTTTTGTCAGCATACTAGCGTCTCTCCTTAAGGGGACCAAGCCTCCCCTTCATTCGAAGGCTTTTGGGTCTGCAAACTGGCTCAAATCTGGGAATTGATTGAGGAGCTATGACTCTGTTTTTATCACCTAGAACTTTTCTGCTTATACAGATTAAGTAAGAATTGATGAGGCTTCTTATATATTTCTAGGAACATCATGATCAACTAGCCAATGCTATAGGTCTGCGTGAGTCAAACTATTCTACTGTCTGCTACAGTGACCACGGCCATCTTGCCTTAGGTGGTGGTGCCATCACTGGGCTCTGCCACTTCAGGATGCCACACTCCCATTGCAATTTAGGTTTCCCAGTTCAGTGACTGCAGCTCCCACTGTAAGGTCTGCCTAATAGAGAAGAACAATCACAGAGCTCTTCAAGGGTGGGGCTCCCCTCACACATTTACTTCTCACAGTAATGGTGAAAGGTGTAAATTCTCGAACCTCCCAGGGTGAGTGAGTAGGTCTTAAAAACAAATCCAGACCAACATCACCATCTCTCTAACCCTCTGAACACCTTCCTTCTACATTAAACCAAGGCAGGTCTGGCACTTCCAATCCACCCAAGTGGGCATCTTTTGGTTCATGTTTCTGCAACCAAACAACCAAATCGAGTCTTTTCTAACCCCCTAGTCTGCAAAATTAAATGCAGAATCTCTGCTTAGTGAGCCCATATCAATAAATTCGCTGTGACCCAACTTTATGTTCCTCCCACCATTATCCCACACCCTATGTGCCACGGTTCCTTACATTTACCTCTAGGAAGGTTTTTATCTCATTTGTATTATAATCATTTCTTTTCGCAAGTTACCTTTGCACACTAAACCATGAGCTACCAGAGGGCAGGGACCAGGCCTCATTTATTTTAGTATTTGCAATGGCTTGGAGGTATAGCGGACACATTCAATGAATGTTTATTGAATCAATTAGTGAATAAAGAAATACTGATTGATAAACATGAAACATTCAAATTTTACTATTTCAACAAATGACCAATATCAAGTGGAGAAAATTTATTTTTAATGATAATACCCAGTATTGGTGAGGCTATAGGACAATAAGAACTTCAGAACATAAATTCCCATCCTATACCTAATTCCCTCAATCCCAATTTCTCCACTTCTTATTCTGGGACAGCACTAGAGATTACATTTCCGTCTCAGGTGCTCATTTCTCTTTAATCTATTTTTACTGTTGCAATTTTAAGACTGGTTGATATATTTTAAGTTACTTTTGGTTCGCTAATGCCATTTATGGGCAGACTTTTTGCTGAAGATTTGGAAATAACAATTAGAATGTGTGGAATGGAGGTAACACTACTACACTGTGGAAGAAAACGGCCAACTATTAGACACTTTCATCGTAAAAGTCCCTCACCTCTTAGAAAGGGGTATCTCACTGGCCAACTTTCCTTATCAGCTTAACCCTGCCTTCCCTTCTTCAGCCATGAAGCCGGCACCCTCCTCTCTCCTTTATCTTCTCTCCCGGCCTCCTCACCTCCTCTCACCAGGGCTATCCCCAGAAACCCCCAATTTCTCCCACCTTATTAAGCAAAACAATTCACTGCTCTCTTCCCCTTAGAGTCTAGCCCATTCTGGCTATGTCTTAAGACAACCAAAATGGTCCCTCAAACGGATTAAATGTTTTAAATGTCACATATTCTGATTGTGCAAATAAGACTTCAAACACTTACGTCACAGGATCTATTCTTTCTGGAGGTGGTGCAATATTCATAAACATGCATGGCTCAATAATTTTCTGAAGAGGTTTTAACTGAAGAAAATGGTAAGTATATTTTAACACTGCTTAGTTACAATTATAGTTCATTCTAATACTACTATGCTTCAGGACTACAGAATAGGCCTTAAATGCATATAAAAAGAAATGGAATTAAGAGAGGAAGAAAGAACTAACATTTTTTGAGCCCTAGATATCTGCCAGGAACCTTATATCTGTAAGATTATTTTTAATCCTCTCAATAATCCTATTGATGTAGATAACTGTGGCCATTCTACAGAAAATGCCGAGGATCGGTAATTTGTTCAAGGTTACCCAAAAGACATCAGAGCCAGGATTTGAATGCAGCTTTATCTGCACCCCCAGAGTAGTATCCTTTTTACATTATCAAGACAGGTGAGACGGGGACTATATTACCGAAAAGTTCATAGACATAAAATCAAAATCAAGAACTTTTATTATATTTCCCACTCTTTTCCACACAATATCTCGGTTCCTTGTTTTTCGTAGACTCTACCTACATAAAACAATACTTGCCTCGTTTATCTGAAAAGGAGATATCCCCCTAAGAATGTCATTATTACATGTTTTACTTATATTCAGACACAAAACCTACCTCTCAAGTTGGTGCTTATAAACTATGTCAGGAAAGGGACTCAACAGTTTCAAGTCCCATAAGGCCCAGTTCATAAGATTATGAATAAAAGAGGCAGAAGGAGGGTGCCTGGGTGGCTCAGTCGGTTAAGCGACTGCCTTCAGCTCAGGTCATGATCCTGGAGTCCCGGGATCGAGTCCCACATCGGGCTCCCTGCTCAGCAGGGAGTCTGCTTCTCCCTCTGACCCTTTCCCCTCTCAGTGCTCTCTCTCTCATTCTCGCTCTCTCAAATAAATAAAATCTTTAAAACAAACAAAAAAAAAAGAGGCAGAAGGAAAAGAAAGAAAAATCAAAGCGAAGAAGGAAAAAAGATGGAAAAAGATTGTGCCTCGTGGCTTTCTTCTGTGTTATTTACTTCTGATTCAAAATGCATTAAAAATCATTATGATATACCATAGGCAAAATTTTAGAACAACATTTTACCAGGGGCTGTTCAGTCAACATAATGGTAGGTTTATTTAATGAAAGTAATGTACCCACTCTGAATTCCTAATTAAAAAAACAACCAAGGCTATAAAAATTAGCAAAAAATGGAAATGAAAGCTTCTATGCCAAGTACAGGGGTCATATTCCCTATGTAACAGCAGCACTGATGGGACTGAATTTATAAATGCCCCCGGGGGGTGAAAATACCCAGGGGTGTGAAGAGCTCTTTCAAACACTTAGAGAGAATATATGTTGGTACAACATTTCTAAAACAATTGACAAACTCATTGTTTTTGGACAATAATTTCCATTCTAGGAATCTGGCCTAAGGACATAATAAAAGGACAGGACACAGGTTAATATACAAAAATTTTCACTGGAACATGGATATATGTAATGAATTTAAAGGGGCAGGACAAACCTAGGAAGATAACTTCTTTGAACTCTTGATAAATCAAGGAGGGCTCACATAACACCAGACATCAAAATAACCACAGGGGTAAGGAGCATATGTTATCAGAGTAAAAAATGTAATGTGAATATAATCAATGACTCCATTTTCAATAAGCATTTTTAGATCTAAAAATCCACACTCCTTATACTACATACTTAAAATAATTTTGTTTTCAACCACATGAAAACACAGACACACAAAAGTAAGTTTTCTGATAAAGGCATTTTGAATAAAGGATTATTTTTAAATGTATATGCAAATAAAAAATGGTAGTTCCATTTTTCCTTAGAATGGAGAAAAACAGCACTCTTTTAAAAATATTTTTTAAAAAAATATGTATTTTAAAATTTTTATCAAACTGGAAAGCATAGAGGCTCAGAAGAGATTTGACTGAAGAGTTGTAGAATAATTTTTAAAAGAGAAGAACTAACCTGATGTGAAAATCCGTAACCAAAGTTTCCATAGGAGAACATAAATTCCACCTCCACCTTGCAGATAAGCTAAACACACAGCAAATTTTGTTTGATCAGAAAGATATTTTAATGAAAAAGGGATAGCAAGTAATATTTTTATTTCACAAGTCTGTGTTAGAAAAACCAAAGCGTGAATCTCCTGATTAAAAAAAAATTCACACAAGGAACTGTTATAGAAGAATCTATGGAGTTCCTGAAATGTTAAAAACTTTGTTAAAGGATATATATTATAATATAGAAAATATCAATTTATAATAAATAGGATTACCCTGAGATACACATACATATGTGTGTGTATATGTGTATACATGCATATGTTTTTAAAGTATTTACTCACACTTCCCCTACCTCCACTTCCATTTTCAGATAAAATTTTTATTCAGACAAGCGATTTTGTCTCTCTGAACCCCAGCTTGCTCAAATGGGAAATGAAGGAGGGTGTCAGAGGTTATGACCTCAAACGTCCATCATTCTCTCTTTTTTTTTATAAAGTTCCTTGTCTCTGTTCTGGCTATTGGCGGCAGAGGTCTCTCTGAAGAGATCAATTAATCAAAATAATAATTTTAAGTATTTAAAAAGAAATTTAGGTGAGAACTGTAAACAACTCTTTAGAATCTCCTCCAAGAGAAAAATACTTCCTCAATTAAAGCTGCACAAAGCAGCCACGAGGGCATTTTACTCTCTTAGTCAATGATTTCAATTTTCCTGGTCATCGTTTAGCAGTAAGGTAGCAGCATTCAAAAAAAAAAAAAAAAAAAGGTGGAGATGAAGATTTTGTGAGCAAATATTGTTCTGTTTAATACATTTCCTTTAATTTGAACAGTGACTGGTAGGGTAACAGAATAAAAACACTATCAGATATTAAAACAATATCAGAGTAAAGTTATATGCAAAGTTAAATGTATGCACAAAACTTTGGAAATTTCAGGAAAGTTCTTACCGTGCTTTTATTCAGCATTTCAAATTCTTCAATAAAGCACCCTTTCTGGAAAAAAGTAATAAAATTCTCAAATACAGAGTCACTCATGTAGTCATCTGTATATAATCTAAACCATTTCATAAATTTTGAAAAATCAGGTAATGATTTTTAATGCACATGTTAACTTGATAGCTAAAATACAACTATACCAAACATTTGGAAGAAAAGTTCTAGGCTGTACCAAAAACAAATGTTAATATTTACGTTTTAGACAGAAATGTTCCTGCTAGTTGCAGTTGCCCTTTCTCCAAGTGTTAAAGGAACTGCCCCAGCTGCACTCCCTTTATGGGGTTTAACATAAATGTGCATGAGTACCTGACTCGTGAGAGAACCGAGGGCCTCTCTCATCCTTGGGGACTGCTGGGATCTTCCTAACCAGGTAAACCTTGGGTACCCTTGGTCACCACCTCTGGGCATCTCTGCTGTGCGACCAGTCCTCCCAAATCATCCACTGTCCCACGGTTCCCTTTCCTCCCAGCATTTTCACTGCAGCTCCTGGAATCCCCACTCCATGGTTAACAAAAAACCTTACATCTTTAACTGCCCCGCCAAACGTTCCCTCTTTGCTTTGCCACAGACTTGGCTTCCCACTAAGGATGCTGCTTCCCTCACAGACTCAAGTCAAGGCCCACACACCTCAAGGCCAGGAGGTGGGGCAGCATCCTCCACACTCCCCTTCTACGGCTTCCAGATCATATTAATTCATGCAGATATTAACAGTTTCCCACTTTGAAGCTTCATGCCGTCTGGCATGTATTTCAGACATTCTGGTCACTAGTTTTCATTTAGTGAAAACCTCAACACCTGGTTCACACATCGACTCTACCCCCAAAACCTAGCAATCTGCACAACCTATTTATTTATTTAATTTTATTTATTTGACAGAGAGAGAGAGAGAGAGAGAGAGAGCAAGATAGAGCACAAGCAGGGGAAACTGCAGGCAGAGGGAGAGGGAGAAATAGACTCCCCCCTGAGCAGGGAGCCCAATGCGGGACTTGATCCCAGGACGCTGGGATCATGACCTGAGCCGAACCTATTTCACACCTGCCCTCTCAGTTTCTGGTGAAGCCATATAATGAAGGAAATAAGAGCAGTCGTACAATGGCAGACATCACACAGAATTAGCATGTGTTCTTCATATAAAATCACAAGATTCTCAGAAAATTCATAAATAACTGAAATAGATTTCCTTAATGATCCTGTCAATCTGCTCTTTATAGCTTCTTGCTCTTGATAGCGTCCCTTTTCCCAAAGTGGGGAGTGGGGGGACATCTCACTGTTCCAAGACTGCCTTTTTCTTCTCTTTTATAAACTGTGCCTCTACTTTTGATCAGAGCTTGACCTACTGATTCATCTCCCTCAGATATAAAGTAAACTTTTAGTCATACTTTTAACTATAGTAAATGTCTTTGAGTTTTTTCTGTAGGTCTCACTGAGATCTGCCCAATTAAGTCTTCACTGGAGCCAATTAAAATAAGTCATCCTGAATATGCATCTCATCTAAATCCACTGAGTTTTAGGCTCACCTTCACTCAGCTCTTCTGGTGAGTTTCAATGTGTGGCAATGAGCTATTTGGCAAACTGTCCTGAATTTGGCTTTGCTCTGCCCAAAGCAAGTTACATGTCTAAGCCTAGTCCAAGAAGGACTGGCAGGGGTTGAGGCTAGACTGCCCAAAGGCACCAGTAGAGGGAGGTATGATTCTGTAGGAGACATTACTCTAACAATATTCCACACCTTTGAATTCTCTCTTGCCCTTCTCAAATAAGTGGCTACAAGTCTAACTGTTGAATTTATCACTTAGTCCTAGGCTTATCTGGTAAGGATAGTACAGCCAAACCAATAACCACAAGTAGTACTACAGTTCATCCCAAAATTAATAATCACATTCCTGTTATAATTCATACACGAATATTATAAACTCCAATATACTTACATGTCTTAACTGGACCCTAGGCCTTAACAATTAGCTAATGTTTCTGGTTTCTCCCAGAGCCTCAAAGGAATCCAAGATGTATCAGGGATAAGAAGAAATAAGGGATTCATGACACAAGCTACAGACCAATTATTTTTTACAAAGCTATGCAAAACCTACTATGTGATTTTTAAAACTCAACTCAAGGTCTTGGCGCCCTCCCCAATCAGACCAATTATATTCAGAAAGTAACTGATACTAATTGGTAATCATAATAATACATTTGTGTCATCTTCATGTATACCCATGAAATAATTGTCGTGCACTCAGATGGCTCTCCCATGCTTCCAAACATGATCTGTAGCTGGGGTCTGGTCATCGAGTCTTCCCAATTCATCTCAGTACTAGATTTGACCAGTCTGCATAAGGAATTCTACCCTAGCAAGTAGTTCTAGAATTAAACATAATCTACCCTCGCATGTGCTCCAAAGAGCAAATGGTACAGCTCAAGTTTTAGAGACAAATCAGCATAAATTTGTGGACTAGAATCATTCTAGGTTATGATACTTTCCTTGACCTTTTACTGTCCAGTGTGGTAGAGTCTGTGCAGTAGCCTATGCATCTTGCTAGATAAACAAGGTAAACAGTTCAGGAAAAGTAGAATCATTAATCAATTAAGAGGCCCTCATGAAAAGATGTTCAACATTATTGGCTATTAGGGAAGTACAAATTCATACCACAATGAGATACGACTACAAACCTATCAGGACGGCTAAGGTATAAAATGGTGGCAACACCAAATGCCGACGAGGATGCTGAGAAACTGGATCATTCATTTCTGGTGAAGACGTACAATGGCCTAGTCACTCTGGGAAACAGTCTGGCATTTCCTTTAATGACTATAGATGCAACTATCTTACAAACCAGAAATTTATCTGAGAAATGAACACTTATGTTCACACAAAAACCTGCACATGTTTATAGCAACTTTAGTCAGAACAGCCCCAAACTGGAAACCCAGATGTCCTCCAATGGGCAGATGGTCAAACTGTGGTACATTCACGCCCTGCAGTACTACTCAACAGCAAAAAAGAAATGAGCTAGTGACATATGCAACCACCTGGATGACTTCCTGGAGAATCAGGCTGAGTGAAAAAACCCAACACTAAAAGATTACATACTACGTGATTCCATTTATATGATATCCTGGAAATGAGAGAATTACAGAAAGGAAGAACAGATTAGTGGTTGCCAAGGGTTAAGGAGGGGGCAGAGGCAGGAGGGAAGGAGATGTAGCTATAAAAGGCAACAACATGAGAAATCCTGGTGGAGGTGGCACTTTCTGTATATTGGTTGCAATACAGTACGGTAGTTTTGAAAGATGTTACCATCAGCAGAAACTGAGTAAAGGATACAAAGGATCTTTCTGTATTATTTCTTTCAAGTGCATGTGAATCTACAATTATCTCAAAAGAAATGTTTGTTGTTTTTTTTTTTAAAGGCCACGTGCCTGTTTATAGTGGGCCAAATTTATCCATGGGACCTATTCTCCGTTAGGCCTAGTTTAAATAGAGTGGATACAAAGTGGATTCAAAAAATTTATTATTGGGGCACCTGGGTGGCTCAGTCTGTTAAGCATCTGCCTTTAGCTCAGGTCACGATCCCAGGGGCCTGGGATCGAGCCCCGCATTGGGCTCCCTGCTCAGCGGGGAGCCTGCTTCTCCCTCTGCCTGCCACTCCCCCTGCTTGTTTGCGCACTCTCTCTCTGACAAATAAAATCTTAAAAAGAAAAAATTATATTTGTGATTGTCTCATAGTCGTTTTCCTCTATTGTCTGATGTCCAGATGTTTAGATATTATTATACAGTCATCTCTCCAAGGTAACATCCAGCTAATGAAACTGCATCAAAACTAAAACAAAAACAAAAACTCCAAAAAACACCAAACTCCTTATGGTTAGCTTTGTACTTCTGGGATCTGAGTTTTGACCAAAAGAGGGTAACTGAGGAATTCTAATAAGTAAAATGACACAATTCTTAAGGTAGAAGTGCCTACAGAAGGATGCTGACAGATATTACACACAGACAGCATATCTTGAACACATCACAGCTAAAATACTAAGACTTTTTGGGGAAATCCATAAATAACCAAAATTGCTTTCCCTGACGACTCTGTCCATTAAATAATAATGGTCTTTTTACCATATGATGTAGCAATTCATCAGAGACTCACAGAGAGGAATTCATAATGTAGACACTTTTTGCAGAAATGCACTGTAATGTAGGTTCAAGAAAATTCACTGCAACAACGAGAATAGTAAAAAAACAGAAAACGATCCAAATAGCCATCGACAAATTTAGTTTTATTTATTTATTTTAGAGAGAGCAAGTGAGCATGCAAGCAGGGAGAGGGAGAATCTCAAGGAGACTTCCTGCTGAGCATAGAGCCCAACTTGGGGCTTGATCCCATGACCCTGAGATCATGATCTGAGCTGAAATCAAAAGTCAGACAGTTAAATGACTGAGCCACCCAGGCGCCCCTGACCTTAACTTTTTAAAGAATCTAAGCTGGTATGTTCCACATTATGTATTTGTCATATATCATCATGGTATTAAGTTTTTCCCTATCCCCTAAATCCCTATAAACTAAAAGATCTAGACTCGGCTTGATTAGATTTGGGGTAAACATTTTTGATGAGAACGATGCACAGGTAATGCTGTATACTTCATACTGTACTGCCATAGGAAGCATTCGATGTTAAGTTGTCCATAATTACTTATGCTAAGTTCAAGCTCTTGGTTGAAGTGGTAACCAAAACGTCTATTGTAGAGGCACATTTCCCCCTTTGCAACGATTAATCTGTAGACTGTTACAGTGGTGTGAAAATATCTTGCTCCCCAATAACCTTTTACCTAATATTTTAAGTAGAATTTTAAGTCTTGATTGAACTAATCATCATTCACTATAAAGAATTGCAAAAATGGTCAATCTGTAATTCTACCATTCTTTCTACACTGACATTCTTCTGTTTAAAAGTTTTTAAATTCCATTTTTCTTCCCCTGTCCCTTTTTTTCTTAAGATCACCAAGATTTATGGATTTTTCTTTATTCAGAATTTGTAATAATGTTTTTGATATTCAAATTATCCTGAAATTGGCCAACAGGGGCCCCTGCAATCTGGCTCCTATGTCCTTTGATGTAACTCCATTAGTCTTCGAAGGCTCCCTTGCTTTGCCTCATAACAAATATCCCTGAAAATCCTTCAGATGGTTTATATTTGTTCACTAATCAGTTAGTTCTCTTCCTTTGAGTCCAGGGCAGTATGGCTGCTGGAAAGGGAGAGGGTAATCCTAGATAGGAGAGAGCAAGAGAGAAGGAACGACAAAATGTGTGCACAAACCCTGCCCCCAACTCTGGCTGACCCCAAACAGCACAGGTCCCCGGTAGACTGCAAGCAGCCCAGCTAAGGAGAAAAGAACTCAAATTTGGGCTGTCAACTAAGAGAGTTTGTGGTCTGGGTCCTGTTTAAAAACATTCCAGAAAACATAATAAAACATGCTTATTAGTCCTCTAGGTTGCCTTTCCACACAATCTATTTTTTTAAAATATTAGGCTGTTCCAAGCCAACTCTTTTTTTTTTAATATAGCCAGAGGGAGACATTGTTTCCTAAGCATATAAGTTTGAAGGTAGATAATAAACCAAAAGGAGTCTGTCAGATACAGATAAATAATAACAAATACCAACTGGACAATGTGATACCACAGTGAAAAAAATAACCTTGATACTTACCTGAATTACATCATAAAGGTGTACCTGAACACTCCCTAAAAAGAGAGGATATTTTTCTGTATTTTTATATTGCATTAGTTCCAAGTAAATATTATTCCGCTCATCATCTTGACGCCTGGGAACCTTGATACAAAATACATGTGGAAAGAATGATCACATTTTCAGTCTGAATTTCAGATATAATTTCTGAATAAGTATATCCATAAACTAGATTTTGTTATATACATGCTTAATGGTTAGTTTTCACATGTTATTAGCCTTATAACTTTTCAATCGCATGGTCGCATATACACTAATGTGAACAAAAATCAGGATCTTGTTTATGTGTAACATTAATTACAGTCTTCTGAAACATGCACTGCCTACATTCTCTAACTCTACACAAAAGTTTAGCCTCAACACTCTACTGAAACTGTATTATAAAAGGTAATCCAATATCTAGCCCAGATAATCTAGGCAATACAAATAGTCAATATCAAAAGACATCCAACATCCTTCTCAGTCTTTGTTCAATAACTTATTGATAAAAGTATCCCAAGGTATAAAATGTATTTTATTTTATCCTAGTTATATAAATACACAGTTTGAAAATCAAACAGCTCTACAATGGTTAAAGCAAAGAAAAACAACTTTTTCTCCCATGTTTAATCTTCTTTTCTGAATTTTATGATGTTTTGACATCTTAAAAAGCCTGGCCAGAGACAGACTTTCTCTCCCTGGGCTAGCCAGCTCCTAGAGACAGCAAGGGTTTAATGAGATGGAAGCACTTCTTTCATATGCAAACTAATCCCAAAATTATAGCCCTAACCACTTCCTTATCTAACTCTCACATGGAGCCAGTATTTCACTGGCCCTAAATCATCCCGAGACCAGGAACCAAGCAACAAGGGATGACCCTACAGCCTAAAGACTGCAGGGAATTATTCAAACTAGCCAATCCTAAATTTTTGACTCTGTTCTGCATTGCTTTCTCAAGAAAACCCCAATAAGGGCTTTAGCCTAGGCTCTCTCATTTCCATCTTCTGTCTCCTGACCACCCGCATGCTTCCCCTGCAGCTCTATGTAGTGTGGTGGGTCCCTTTCTTCCCTTCTTTCTATGGCATTAGCCTCTCTGTGTCATCATTCAGTCATACCTCTATAAAGTAAGTCCTGGGTAGGATTTTACAACACCACCTTAGCCAGCCCCTAATTTCCACTCCTCAGAAATCACCTTTCAAGCTTTTAAAGTGATTTGTCTGGTTTTTGCCATGAAATCATGTTTCTAAGTAACATGCTTATATTAAGTGATATTTTAGTTTTAGATACTATCAATTAACTGCTTATTGTGGAAGAAAAATATTAACTCTCAACACCCTCCCCCACAATTTTCACATTCTCTTCCTTTCATTCCTCCAATATATTATATATAGATCATACTTTTTAATTAGAACAATACTTAGTGTTACTGTGTATATGCAGCTATTTTGCAGAGTTTAACAATACAATTATGACATTTTCTTCTATTATCTCTTTTTAATTTTTTTAAAGATTTTATTTATTTATTTGACAGAGAGAGACACAGCGAGAGAGGGAACACAAGCAGGGGGAGTCGGAGAGGGAGAAGCAGGCCTCCCGCTGAGCAGGGAGCCCGATGTGGGGCTCGAACCCAGGACCCTGGGATCACGACCTGAGCTGAAGGCAGACGCTTAACGACTGAGCCACCCAGGCGCCCCATTCTTCTATTACCTCTTAATTTCCCTTAGAGCTAATATGTGTTTTGCTTTATGTTTGTCTCCTTGTGCGGTTTTCTGTGTAGTTATTACTGCTTCATCCCCAAACTTTCCACTAGAGCTCCATTACAATCCTCCTCCTAACATGCTCAAACAGCTCCTCTTAAAAGAAGATTTTGATTATGCTAATAAAGATAAGCACCCTATTAACTTATATTATTTTCCAGTATTAATTTCAAGTTTTATTTAAGTGAACATACACCCACAAAATTCTTAAAAATTTGGCAAGCTCAGGAAAACTATTTGCAAAGTAAAACAAATAGTACAGATTGCCTTTAGCCAAACTATGCCTGTCTTTCTGTGTTTTTTTTTAAACTACGCTTAAAGAACTATCTTCAGTACTCAAGACTTAAGCAAAATAAAGTTTTGAAGATTAAAATGGAAGGTTAAAAAATATAGAGCATTGAGGAAATGTTTTAGGATTTCACTAAATTTTAACCAATATAATAAAACTCTTAGGACTAACAACTGGGCTAATCAATGCATCCTACAGCTACATGAAATAGTGTTGCTCACTTAAAGAAAACTCTGAGATACATTTAAGATTCTAAGAAGCTTAGCTATAAAGAGACGCAAACTCAGCATAGAAAGCTCTGGTGTGAGAGGAAGCTTAATAAAGTGTAGTCTGAAGCCAGACTGACTCCATTCCCAGCTCCACCACTTACTAGTTCTAGGACCTTAAGAAAGTTCTTTTACCTAACAGTACCTGTTTCCTCATTTGCAAAATGAGGATTATAGTAAGAGAATATATATATTTTGGGGGGTTGTTATAAAGACTAAATCAGTTAATCCATGCAAAAACAATTAGAGTTTATATAAGAAGAAAGGAGAGAGGGAAATGAGGAGGAAATGAAAAAAAAGAGAAAGGGTATGCTCTGAACCTTTGCATCCCCTCAAAATTGGTATGTTGAAGCCTAAATCCCCAATGTGATGGTATTTGTAGGTGTGGGGTTAGGGAGGGAGTTAGGTTATAAGGGTAGAGCCCTCACGAGTTGGATTAGTGCCCTTACTAGAAGAGACCCAAGAAAGAGGATCTCTTTGCTCTCCGCCCTGTCACTATACGATGAAAAGATGACCATCAGGAAATCAGAGCACAGGCTCTCACCAGACACCGGATCTGCCAGAACCCTGATCCCGAAACTTCCTAGCCTCCAGAAAGCTGAGGAATGAAATGTCTGCTGTTTCAGCCACCCCACCTATGGTCATTCGTTACAGCAGCACAAGCTAAGACGGTGGCGGGGGGGGGGGGGGGGGGGGGCGGCGGCGCGGATAGAGAGGAGGACAGCAAGATAGAGAACAATGCATGTTTGACGAACACGCAGAACCACAGACAGTAAGTTCCTAGGGAAGAAGATCATGAAGATTATGCATTTTCTAGTAAGTTGTTTATTAAAAAAATATATATAGCCCATAGTACAGAAGTAAAATACTGTAAAATATCAAAGAAAAAGGCACTGCATTTGTTTCTTTCCTATCCCTAAAAAGGGATATAATTAGTGTAGATTATTTGAAACTATAAAAATGCATTCTTATATCCAGAAGAGAACTTTTAACATTACCTGTACAGAAAAGTACTTTATGTCGTCAAAATTAATTGTAGTGCTCTTTTCATCATTTCGGGATAGCAAGCTACACATTTTTGTACATTTCACAATGTTGTTTATAGAGATGCGAATGAACAAGTTACTGTAATGTAAACTGACTGAAAATACACAGATATTGAGGAAACAAATTTTGTTGTAATTGTACAGTAACACATTACAAAATTAATCCACTAAGCAATTCAGGTAAAACCTAAGAATCAAACAAATAAATAAAGAAGGTAATTGTAGAGCATATTTAACAACTTTAAAAGTCTTTTAAAATAGTATTTTTGCCCATCGACGGTAGGCACAACGTAAGTAGGAAAAGGGAGGTTGATTATTCTTTAGATCACTTCTCGTATTTCCATCCTCACATTTCCATTACAATCTTTTGCAAATGTTTCTTTATATTTTCTTTTTTTGAGAGAGAGAGAGAGAGAGAGAGAGAGTGCTAGCGGTGGGGTGGTGGGGAGGGGGGAGGGGAGGGGGGAGAATCTTAAGCAGCCTCCACCCCCAGTGTGAGTGACCCTGAGATCATGACCTGAGCCGAAATCAAGACTCAGATGCTTAACCAACTGAGCCACCCAGGAGCCCCTCTACATATTATTTTTAAGGTGACTAAATATTTGCAATATATAGCTAAAAACTTTTCTAAGCATAATTATATAGAAATGCAAAAATTCAAAATTCACGAGTTATTTTTAACATTAAGACAGCAAAATTTAAAGCAGTTTTCTCTTATTCATTTCACTATATACTTCAGTATACTATACTGTATTTTTATCTTTCGTAGCGCTCTATGCATTAAAACAATTTTGTTCATGGATCACTATATCAAAAATTAGTGATGTATTGTATGGTGACTAAGATAACATTAAAATAAAATAAAAATAAAACTCTGTTTTTATGATTTAACTAATTATCTTCAAAAATCTCTTTATGCAGAATTCTCTTCAACAACTTACTTTATAGGAGCATCTGGCTGGAATTAAGCCCCTGCCTTCGGCTCATGTCATGATCCCAGGGTCCCAGGATGGAGTCCCGCATCGGGCTCCCCGCTCAGCAGAGAGCCTACTTCTTCCTCTGCCTCTACCCTCCCCACTCGTGCTCTCTCTCTCATAAAAATAAATAAAATCTTTAAAAAAAATAATTCACTTTATATAAAAAAGAAACACCAAGTCTTCATAATGAAACTGGTTTTATGCCATGAAAAATCTGATGATGAGCAATCAGTTTATTTAAAGGCACCAAGATAAATAAATCCTTCAAACAATGTTTAAGATAGCACAATTATTACTTAGAAATAATTAGTATTATCATCTAAGATATGTATTTTTCGTTTTTTTGGTAAGATATATATTTTTCCTTTAACTCATATAGTGATTGAGATGGATTATGGATGGGTGAAAAACTTTCATCACTTTGCACATCAAAAGATGGAGTTTATTTTCCTCTGCTCTTGAATCTGGCCTGGCCCTTTGACTACTTTAATATACACTGGACATGACCAGGGCTGGGTCTAGGACAGGGTAAGAGAGGCACCAGCTACGGTCCAAAATTTAAGGGGACACCCAAAACTTTAGTAATAAAAATAAATAATATTTTAATGTAATATTTTTTTAAAGATCAAAATTAATGCAGAAAAAAAATATGATGGAAAAACAAGACCTTGGGACTCTATGGAAAGAGAGAAAGGTCTAACCATTTCAGCTTCCCAGCTAAGTCCAATCTTCCACGCATCCTCACTAAAACACCAGACACGTAAATTTCTAGCCCTTTTAAACTGCCAGCTGACCACAGAGCTTGCTATGATCATGGGGACAAGGGCGCCTAGTGAATACACACAGTGATTGATAATAAAATGGTGAAGGTTTTAAGCCACTAAGTCGTGGAGTGTTTTAAGGCAGCAATATGTAACTGAAACAGACATATATGATCATGGTATGGTACTTAAATCAAAAGAAAGGATACTCCTAGGCGTGAAATGTCTGCAGTTCTTTATATGAACAGCAAGGCAGCCAACCTAAAACAATCAAAATAAAAACACAGCAAATGAGTTTTTAAAAGTTAACTTTCCTTCCATTTTATTCTATACCAAACTATATATTTTTAAAAAGCTCCACTTTGCTAATTTCTCTTATTAAAAATATTGTTTCTCATTAGAAATATCTAGTTAAGGGAAAACACCAGAAAACGAAATACAGAAGAAAAATAGGCAGGATTTATTCAAAGTAAAACTAAAATGAACAAGAATAGAAAGCAAAAAAAAAAGAAGAAGAAGAAGAAGAAAGAAAAAAGCACTAACTTAAATCTAACCATCACTCTTTGAATCATTGTTATTTTATATTAGGTGAGAACTGACGAAGTGTAGCATCCTGTATATAATAATAAAAAAGACGCCTTGCCTCAGATGGGCTTTTTTATCCAGTATCCTAAAACCACTCTATTCATTCAACATTCATCCACTACAACATCCCAAGGACTGTGAAATATTCCTTCTCTCTGTACAAAGTATTTCTAAATGTTAAAGAAAATTATATCTCCTGTTTAAGCATAAAATCAAATAAAAAATGAATACAGGAATATTTGAATACTGATTTGCATTATCAGCCAAATATATTTAGCCATGTTTGGTCTTAAAAACCAAGTAAAAACAATAGCAATATTATGTTAAACACTGTAAAACAAAATAAATGACCCAATAGTATTTTTAAATGTATGTAAATAATTTTAAAGATTTAGTTTTAAAATAATACAGAAAAAGAAATTAGCATCCAGTATTTAAGTAAAAGACTATGTCACGTGAATGATGAAATCCTAAGAAGAAAGTACTGTGGTCTACTTCTTAAGGAAATTTTGATATGAAATGTTATGTTAAAGGAAAGGTTCTAAGTTTTCAAATGCAAAGGGGTGTAACGCATATTACATGATCTAGGCAGGATTTTAAATGGTACTGCCATAGGTGATTCCATGAATCATTTTTATTTCTTAAAATTGGAGTTATACATAAGGAGCGTAAAACAGGGCAGTATGACTACAATGTTGTATTGCGTAATGCTATACATTAACATTCTGTCATAAATCATTGCCTGCCTGCCAAGTATTTAACATGAAGCCATGGGCAACTACCCTAACTTTCCTCATCTTTCGATAGCTCTTTATACTTTTATATCATAGATCCATATAAAATAAAAAAGAAAAATTTCTATTCAAATATATTTTTATTTAAACTCAGTTAGCCAACATATAATAAGTACATCATTAGTTCCAGAGGTAGAGGTCAGTGATTCACCAGTTGCCTATAACACCTAGTGCCCATCACATGATGTGCCCTCCTTAATGTCCATCACCCAGTTACCCCATCTCCCACCCACCTCCCCTCCAGCAACCCTCAGTTTGTTTCCTAGAGTTAAGAGTCTCTCATGGTTTTTCAAATGTAGAAAAGTATTTAACACTTAAAAACATAATGATGACCACTCACAGGCTATGGATAACAAATGTTGCCACAAATTCTGAGACCCATCTGTGGCCCAACGCTATAACGATGTCAACAACTTCACCAACCCGCCAACATGCATGTAAAACAGGAAAGCAACTAGAAAGGTGTTCGCAAAAGCACTTTAGGTGCCCAATTTTAAGACAGGCTTTTATGCATTTTTTCTGAAAAAGGGGTCTATCAGAAAGAGGAATAGTGGGCTGTGATGTAGCTCTCATTGCAGACACTTGGACAAGCCTTGCCAAATACCTCAGAATAAATCACAGAACTTTCAGAGAGAAAGTCACGTGACAAATCATACACTGAGAGGAGCTATCACATGCCAAACATCTGTCAAAAACTTCCAGCGGACTTTTAAAAGAAGGTTATTAATATCTAGCAATATGTAATTCAACTAAGGAAAATACAAACTACGAAGTTAGGAAGTGTGAATGAAATCAAAGTATCAATTTTGAAGGACTGTAGATGTCACACTCAAGAGTATGGGTTACGGAAATCAGGACATCAACATAATGGCACGCATGATAGCTTGCAGCCAAAAGTGATTTCAAGTAATCTTCTTCTAAGTAGATTCGAACAGTGACTTTGACTGTGATATACGAAAGCACTATAAAGTTATGTGGATAAATGCACACTGTGCTCATTTTGTAAAAACAAAATGTATACATTAATACAATTTTACTTTTCCCCCCAAAAAATCATGGTATTAAATCATATATTTTTTAATCAAGAAAATGTATAGTATATGATAGGATCTAGAGAAGAAGGCCAAGAGAAACTCACTTCATACCCATTAACTATTCTAATGATGTTCAGGAAGAGAGATAACTGTAAAAGAATGTCACAATATTTGATAGTTCTGAATGTACATAGATCCTCATGTCCTATATTCTGTAGCACCCAAAGAAAAAAAATAGATTTTTTTCTGGTTCTCAGCCCAGATATTTGGTCCTACCTGTGTGTTTGTGTGTATGTATGATTCATGAGTATGTTTGCTTTCGTTCCTGGGACTTGAGGGAAAGGTGTGGGGTCCACACCTTTTCCAATCATAGCTCAAAGGCTCCTAAATCTGACAATAAATACAATCACCTGACCAGCACAATAAAATTACTGAATCTTAGGCCCCATTCCCAGATTCTAAGTTAGCAGATCTTAGGTGGGGGCCGAGAATCAATGTTTTTTTAAAAAGTATACCAGACGATTCTGATGTAACTAGAGTCTGGGAATCCCTATATAGAGGACATTTTTTTTTCTGCGAATCAAGATGCTTTCCATAATTTCAGTGATTACAGAATGCTTTTCTGACTTGATGAAAAAATGAACAATTCATAAATGTTATCAGAGAGAACCATTTTCTATATGTACTTTTTGATTATCAAATAATAAATATTAACTAGTCTTCACATAAATTAAGAAATAATCTGTACAGGTTTGTGGAGGATGAGTCTCACATACCACGTCCCCAAATGGTATCAAAGTTGGCACTTCAGGTGTTATTTCCAGTTCTTTACTTTCAGACCCTTTAAGAGTTTTTCTCAGCATCTACAATGTAAATAAGTTAACATTAGACTTTAGAAGGCAAAGAATAAATAGATAAAAGTTCATTTCAACAAATATCTTAGGGGTATCTACTAAGTAAAAGGTATTATTCTAGGCAGTGGAATATTAATATGAGTAAAAATCTCATCCCTACCCTCAATAAGGTTACCAGTAAGTTAACAGAGAAGCAAAATGTAAACAAATATAAAATCATTCAGGGAATCATGAGAGAGGAGAGAAGGGCATAGTACCACGAATAATGAGCTCTGCTTGCTAACTAAAAATGACCATCATTACCACATTTTAGTCTTAATCTGATGTGGACCAAGAACTATATCCCACAGATGGCAGTGATCCTGCTTGCAAGTTATTCCAATATTCGTTCAGTTAATCAGAAACAGAAGGAACGGCAACTTAATACTTTGGAAGAGCAGGTAAACGGGAATGGAGCAATGGAAAAATGGCTTTTGGTTTTGAGTTGTGTCATTTCCTCCACTTCACTAACAGATATTTGTGGGTTGGTATTTAACTTTGTTCCTAAGGGCTCTGGTCGCTACACATAATGGTTAACTTTTAAAAATTACAAGACATTTTTGTATAGATTTTAAAGAGAAAGAGAAGGAAGGTGAATGGAGGGGAGATGTGAGGGGAATAGGGAAAACGTATTACAAATCTACCTTGAAAAGAATTATATTTATCCCCAACCTCTGCTAACTTGAATCAACATGGCCTTACTTATAAACATTAACTTCCCAGGAATCTGTTGTTTTGTGTCTTTTCAATTTTGGATATATGTAATAAATCCTGAGTTATGTTGAAATTTTTGCTTCAAAGTATATAACACATGAGTTATACTGAAAAAATTTGTACATATGTTGGGTCATTTTGCTATTGCTGCATCTGATTGGCTTAATGGGTTTTATATGTATGATTTTTATGTATTTGTATAATTTGTAGTTTAAGGTAACTGAGTGACAATTACTATATTGTCACAAAAAACACCAAACTGTGGTACATCATATGTGTATTCAATGTGGACCCTCATGCTTCCTAATGTTATGATAACCTTACTATGGAAGTCTACTTTGAATGTGCATTTTAATAAATACAAAATAATTAGGGGAAAATCCTTTAGAACACTCATGCTCAATTTATCCTTAACTACGTGGCAAAAATACTGCTTCTCCCCCCTCAGATCACTACCTTTTTACTTTCCTTTCCTTACCTGAGCAGAGTTCTCTTCAGTGGCCGCAACATGAGCAAAACAACTCTTTGCCTAAATTCTATTAGAATCTTGAACAAATGTTCTAAAGGCTAGTCTCATAAGGCCTACTCATACCACCTAGAATTTCTCCTGAACCTGAAGAGAATTTTTATTTCAGTTAATTCTACTATGTCACTTATGGCCCCACTCTGAGTAAAAGTCCCTCACGGCACATCTTTTAAAAGTCTATATACTCACTTACATTGTTCTGCACTTCTTCCCCAATGACCTTTTTGACCTACTCTCCCCCATTACAGTTGTATTTGGAAACCCACTAGTCTACATGCTTAGTTTTTCCAGTATCATCCTACTTCTTAGCCCTAAAAGAAACCTCAGTGTCTTTACATTAATTAACATTTCCTATGTGCTGGCACAACTATATGCCTGGCACTGGGTTGGTTCCAGTTTGAAGTGTTTTTGTCCTTAGGAAATTCAGTCTGATGTTGAAGACAGAGAGGTGGGAAAAACAAACAAAAAAAAACAATTACAGTTTCTCTATGAGAAGAACAACAGCTGAAAAAAGAGACTTTTATCTTTACTTTTTCTTTATCCAACCCAGATTTCCTACATGGGAAAAAAGAATAACTTATTTGATTGGTCAGATCTTCCCATTCATTCTTTAAACTACAAGTACCTGGAATTATTAACTCCAAAAAATATTTTTTAAATCCTCTTTCCCCCGCCTAACTCAGGAGCAATGACTCTTTTTCACTCTCTGTGGTTCTGTCCCCAGGAAACAAGGACACTCATAGCAAGGCCCAGGGATTATCCCCTAAAGTAGTGGAAGAAAATATTAGAATCTAACAATTTTCTTTAACAAATAAGAAAGTAAGCACATACAACTAACTATAAGCAGTAGACAAATTTTCTGAGGAAAAGTGTGAGTTTTATACTCAGAGAGGTCATACTACTGCCTTCATGAGTTCAGGGTATTGCATTTGTTAAGTGGACTGACCTCTTAACGAAGTACTTACCTTAAGTAGCATATTCAGTGTGCTTTACAAATAGATGAGGCCTGAGGATAAAAAATTTCATGGCAAAATATTTTTCAAAAGTTGGCAAACATAAAGATATACCATGTACTTTGGTCTTAGAAAAAGACAAATGTTCCAAATTTGTTAACCTTTTCTGGGATGACAAATAACTATCAACAGTATGTAAACTAGCAAATATTTTAAAATGGGTATTTCTTAATCTGTCTTTTCAGAGTAAGGGAGTGACATTTTAATAAGTGTGAAAATAACTCTTTTTGAAATGAACTCATGTTAAGAACATTTTGAAAAGTATTGGAAATATTTTCATCCAGTGTTATATTCTGTGTGTGCAAATGTGCTATGATCACCCTACAAGCTCGTGGTATCACACTTTAACAACTTAGAAACCATTTCCTCATCTGTTTAAAAATCTCACAAAAGAAGGGTTTCAGGAGGTTAGGAGACCATTTTTCCTTTCAAATATAAAAAATGCAACGCCTTCCAATTAGTTTGCCAGAACTAATTACACAGAAAAGATGACATTTTACTGATAAAATCTGGACTAAAAACCTTGAAAAGTAAGTAGAAATGAAAAATGTGATTTTACTAAGCACAACCAAGATGCACCTCTTCCATTTGAAATTTCAAATCTTTGAAAGTATCTTTTTCAAATAGCATTAAAAACCAAATATTGAAATAATTAATTTGCCTTAGAATGAGACCTTCAAATTACTACATCACAAATATTAAATCACGCTTTTCAAAAATAGTAGTGCTTATTGAGCTCTGTACCACTAAGAAACAACATGGAAATCATTTTTCAAAATACTGCTTATCATTTTTAACTTTTTGTACATTGTAAAATTTATATAGTAAATTACAGTATATTTATGTAATGTATAAATAAATACACAAACATTGGTGATAGATGTTCATATGTTTTTTACTGATAAGACTGTGCAGTCAAAGCAATTTGGAGACTACTTCTACAGAATCACAGCTAAATGCCTATAATTTGTCTCACTTTCCTAAGTCTGCCTTTCTGGAGGCTTTAAGCTGCCAGTTTCCATGCATATTCCCACCTAGGCACAGTCTGCTTAGAATGAAGCAGGTTACCTTCTCCATTTCATACATGCTGCCTTCAATTTGAGATGGAGGAGGGGGTTCCAGAATAGTTCCTGGTTTAGACTCATTACCAGAAAGCCTTAGATAAAACTGATACTTAGTTCCTCATTTGATTGTCCACTTTTTAGCAAATATTAATGGCCACAATCCTGGAGCAAAAGAGGAGCAAGAGATAAGATTCCAGTACCAAGCCCCATCCAGGATGCCTATGAAGTATCTCATATAAATACGTGGCAAATAAGGGGAGTGGGGACAAAGTGTTAGGGAAGGAGGTGATGATTACTTCAAGTGAGTTTGAAGAGGAAAAAAATTAAGAACTAGAGGGAGAGAAGCCTAGACAGAATAAATAAGTGTAAAAGCATAAAGAAGGTATAGTTTTATTACATTATTATATTAATATACATATGTATATTATACTAAGATACATATACTTAGGTATGATAAGTATGTATACTTACATATAAATACTATTATATACATGTTCATATTATACTTACATATTTATATATGTAAATATTATTGCTTCACTATATACACACACACACACACACACACACACAGATGGCCATCAAATAACATGAATTTGAACTGTGTGGGTTCACTTATACAGCAGTTTTTTCCAATAAATATTTGTACAGTACTATAAATGTATTTTCATTTCCTTATGATTTTCTTAATTTTCCTTTCTTTACTTTATTGTAAGAATAGAGTATATAATACACATAGCATACAAAGTATGTGTTAATCAACTGTTTATGTCATCAGTAAAACTTCCAGTTAACAGTAGACATTAGTAGCAAATTTTGGAAGGAATCAAAAGTTATACATGGATTTTCAACTGCATGGAGGTCAATGTCCCTGACCCTCATGTTGTTCAAGAGTCAACTCTAAATAATTCATCTCAAATTGAACTATAGATTCAATACAACCAAAATCAAAGTCCCGAAAAGTTTTCCCACAGAAATTGATGAGATTTTCCAAAAATTAATATGGAAATGGAAAATCCAAGAATAGCTAAGACCATCTTGAAGAAGAAAAACAAAATGAAGTATTAAAAAATTAAAGAAACAAGGACATTTCTTAATGTTTGAAGACATAGCAAAAGCATAGATAAATGCACCAAAGAAACTGATTAGAGTCTAGAAATAGACCCTGACACAGGCACTTCACTTGTGACAAAGTTGGTACTGCAGAATAGTAGAGAAAGAACACTCTAAGGTAGGTCAAGTAGAAATCACCATGCCAAAAAAAAAAAAAAAAAAAGAGAAAGAGAGAATAAAAGGAAGAAGGTGAGAGAGAAAAAAAAAGAAAAGAAAATCTGACTTATAACTCACACCATATACACAAAAATCAATTACAGGTGAATTGTTGATCTTGGTGTCAAAAGAAAAACAATAACAAGATAATACATGAGAATATTTCCATGAGTTTGGAGTAGATTTCCAAAACAGAACACAAAGAGCAATAACCATAAATAAGAAAGTTTGATACAGTAAACTCCATTAAATTTAATAACTTCTGCTTATCAAAAGATGTCATACATATTTGGAAGAAAATATTTACAACATGTATGGTACAAGTAACAAAGAGCCTATAACTAGAATATATATACAAACTTATACAAATTAATAAGAAAAAGA